TCTGAGTTCATAGGTATTCATCTTTTTGTATTGCAAAATTTGTCCAAAAAATTCTGTTTGACACATATTTCATTACAACAAATGTGTACATTTTTAAAGAAATTAAAAACTGATCACTGATATCAATAATTAGCACAAATATTTAAAAAGTACCAGAGAAACTACCTTCAAGCCCTCTCAACAATTATTATCATTGATAGCCTCCAAAAAGTCCAAATTCATATTGCTGTGTAAAAGCTCCGAAGTACCAAATATCAACCGAGACATACTAATTTTCAACTCATGTCTGCAACTCAGAAGTTAGAAAGTTTGAGCTCAATGCTGCTATGAAGATCCTAAAAGTCTTACCACAACTCTAGATTTTATTAATAAAAGGCTGTGGAATCACTATTGCGCTCAATGTTTGGTAAAACTATTATTGCCATCATGTAAACTGGATAAGTAGTCGCACTATATAAGCTCTATTAATTTTTTCCGGGGAAAAAGAATTGTTTCGTCAAAGGCCATCTGACGTCAGGACACTCCCCAGCAGTTAATTTCATTTTTTGAGTAGAATACTCATGCAAATTAATCATATCAACTAATTATGAAAATATTTATCTCTTAGCAATCGTTAATCGGATTTCAATAGCTTAAGCAGCGGCAGCTGTCTTTGAAAACAAAAGTTCAACGCTTTTTTTGCGAAGTAGAAACCTGTACAACCGAATTTCCAAAGAGAGATTAAACCCCTAAAAATACCTTTCCATCAAACAGTATACAAGCCAGTCATTTGACTGTTGCAATATAAAGCTTACAACCTGTCTTGCCATAAGCATAAGCTTAATCACAATAACAAAGCATACAATCATATGTTGTCAGCACAACAAATCCAACCATAAAACTTTCGACTTAAGCGAACATTATAAACGCTATCAAATTTATTTAATTAGAAATCTCAAAGGATGCATTGCAAACACACCCACCGACACCCAACCACGCTTGACTTACGCAATCAAGCACAAGTACACACATTGCAGGTACAGCCGATCGGCTGCCGTGGTTGCCACGCCAACAACTCGGTTCCCAATAAAAGCGAGTGAAATGCTGTCAGCTTAATTGATGCGCTTTGCGAGGGCAGGCGGCCGAGATAGCCGAGATATGCGATGCTTTCCGTTAACGATACTCAAATTTCAAAAGGCACAATGGTGCAATGGTAAACAAGGATGCGGCAAGGAAGCAAACAAACGGCCAGGAACAACAGGAAGCACGTAAAGCACATGGAAAGGGGGAAAAGAACATAAAACACCAGAACAAATTTCTACATTAGCGCATGTTGAGTGGTAAAATATGTTGTAATGATATTGCAATACAACAACAACTGCAAGCAGCCAACAACATCAACAATTACAATAGCTAAGCATGAAGTCAGTGTGAGACGCACAGCAGCAGCAACCACTCGGGCGGCCACCATCATCCACAACAAACAAACCACCAAGCGCACAAACAATCAACCAAGTGGATGAGCATATCGAACCATCAACCAACACACAACACACAACGCCGCGCCGTCCGTTGGCTGGTTATAATCAAGCGATATTCTTCGAAAACTGCGCATAAATTGAGTCCCGTGGGAGGATTTCTTCCCGTACTCTGGCAGTCTACCACCACATTACACTAACAACATTATGCTAAACAAGTTTATAGCCACGAAAGCAACGCTGGTTGTCACGTGTTTGAAACAACAAATAATAATAGCTGCCACGCAACACAGCAAGAGATCATCCCTTAAGCTCGGCCGGCGGATAAATGTTGGCTGCTCTCGGATGAGGTTGATTGAATTGAGGGCGCTGCGTTGCCGTTGAGGTGGCTTGATGATGCCGCGATAGAGTGCAGTGTGCAGCATTCGGGCGCACTGACCGACGCCGCACCCCGGAACTATGGTTAACACACAAAGATACGCAGTCGTACTTTATGGAAATCGAAAACTACTAAAAGCGTGGGTAAATTATTTTCTATGAGTTTATTCAACGACGTTTGAATGCGTAAATCAGCAAAACGAAAAGAAATTTATCGCCGTTCAGTGGCGTAGTGGCATTGTAATACGGTGGAGCATTCGGACTGTTCCTCGCCTTTATCTATACGAATTCTTTTTCCATAAGGAATGTATTCTTTTAAGAAAAAGCAGCACGGAACACCGGCCTTTCATAATCTCAGTCAGAATCCTATACGTGTTTTCACCAGCAAATCATATTTTTTAGATTAGTAAATTATGGCTACAAAGAATAATAAACTATATACAAGTCTCCATACAGTTTTACAAAAACATTTCTCTCGAACATTCCAAAAACTCCCTGATAGGAGCTTTTTATTCAACAACATTTTTCATTTTTCGTAGAATCACTTTAAAACTTCAGAGCCTTAACCTTTTTCACTTCAATCTAATATAAAAATCTTTACTCAATTCATTATGATGTAAGATGAGGGTTCATAAAACCCCTTCCGCATCCTCCTTCATAAGACACTGTATCGCACTTTAAACAGAGTATGAGTAAACTGGTGTACGCACATATATTCAGTTAGGGATGCGATTTGTGCTCTAACTGCCGCTTATTACTGGTGTTTGTGTGCTAACAATCGGCACATTGAGCGAATCGCTTTCTATTGAATTAATTGCTACTAAACATTGATTGCTGCGGCATTTTCTCACGCGTCAGCCCGAAAAGGTCGATTACTATTTTATTCGCACTCGAAACGGACACTCAATAACTGACGGCATAGGACAATGCATTAAATAAATATTCAACCCAAATTATTTACTGCCTTAACACCCCTACCTCGCGCTGCACAGTCAACGAAGTGCTGCTAGTGTTAATGTGTGTTGCTTTTAAAGTTGCTGCTGCAACGTCCGACGGCTGCTGGTGGCATCAAGTGTCTGTCTGCATGCCAATTCCGAAGAAATATCACTTTTATAAGTTGTTTAGAAATTGAAAATTGCGCGGATATGGGAAAATACTCGCTAATAAAATGCGCTGCAATTTGTTCCATGCGCTGATGACTTTGGATGAGTTGTTGTTGTTGCCGAGCACTATAAGCGAAGCTATTGCATTAAAAAGTGATTTGCTTTCAACATCTGTGTATATTTGTATATACTCACACATATATGCATACATATTACAAATATATGTCAATATTGCTCAATTCACCCACAGCCGCAGTCACTCTTCGTTTATTTCCCTTTATTGTTTCGGTTTGATGAGGCACTCATCAAATGTAGTCATGTAGTCAACAGTGGCTTATTAGATTATAATTGCAATATTGAATGAGTCTATAGCGTACACACGTTACTCACAAATTTGTATGCATTTGATAAATTAATACTTTGATTGAAATAAACGGCGAAATAATTACCAAAGAGCAATTGAATTACAATCACAGCAAAATTGAAGGGAAGTACGCGTAGTTGTAATTCGGTAAGCCTGTGAAAAATAATTGAAAACAAATTAATGGAATTCGCAAATGTTCGTAAAATATTCCTTGTATAATAATGCTAAGCAATTGACTCTCCACTCAGGGAAATATTTTTTAGCTAACAGAAAATTTTCAATTTAAAAAATCTGTCGGCTGTATAATATTAATTTCAATTTCAGAAAATGTAGCTGGATATTAACATTCTTGACATCTATTTACTCACAAAAAAAAATATTCAAAAAGGAAACAAAATTGAGCAGAGCATAGCTAAAATATATGAGATGTCGTCTTCGATTCGCCATTTCCTTGAAAAATATTATATGTGAGAGGAGCAACAAAGTTAAAGAGATCAATCGATATATTACAAGAGAGTATGCGAATATCTTTGAATGTGGCATAAGCCCTATCTCCAATGCTATCAACTTGCGTTTTACAGATTTAAACTAGTTGTGACATTGTGAATGACTCAAATGACAAATTACTTACAAAAATGGAAATACAAAGCGTTTTTCTACTCTAAGTAGGGTATATTAAAATTGCTACGAAGTTTGTAATACCCAGAAAAAAACGCCGGAGACCCTATAAATTAATTATATAAATGATCACCGCCTCGAGCTGAGTCGATTTAAAAAAATCCGTTTGTCGATCTGAAATTTTGCACAGGTCCTTCTCTGCCAAGAAACTGCTTAATTTTCGCAACTGCTGATATCGGATCAATACAAGTATAGCATTATTATCCATGAGCACAGTATAATCTCTGAAAAAATTGTTGAGATCAGATTTCTATAGCATATAGCTGCCATAAAAACTGACAGATCAAATCAAGTTCTTGTATGGAATTTGTATGTGGAGGGAGTAGCTTTGGTGTCACAGAAGTTAAAGTTTTTTTGATTTAATTTATCTGACATAAATTGTTGGCTTTTACCAGTCTTTTTTAATCGCAGCGATATTTATTCACAGTTCGTTCAATTTTTCTAATCAAAAAATTTAACAATAAAAACTTTTTTGAACTCTTTCATTAAAGTGGTCTACTAATGAAGTCTTCAAAATCAATTTTAATATTTTCAGTTAAAAACAAATACAAAAATGCACTTCCGCTTTGAATTGTTGCTACTTAAACTCAATTGGTTGTGCAAATAAAAAGCTTTTAAAAATTTTAATCGACAATGAACTTCCGCAAATTGTTTGCACACATGCGTAGTTAAAGATGGGGCGATTCCAATTAAACGCGCGTGTGGCTACTGATAAGCAAACATTTAGGGCATATATACGTACATATTATATATATAAGTGGATAAAAGTATTTTTGAAAGAGTGCACCCCTGCATGAACTTTTCAAAAATTTTATTAAAATATTTTAGCATATCTTTTTAGATAAAAATTTTATTTTGATATTTTTATATAAAATTAAAAAAAAAAGTTGTATCATATTTTTTAGTTTAAACTTTAGTAAAATAGCATATTTAATATTACTAAAATGATTAAATTTTTATTTATTATTTTATACAAATATCAAAGCAATTATAAACTGTATCTTCACAATTCAAACACAGGTATGCCACAGCTGGAAGAGGAAGTGCCAGGAAACGCACTACATAGATAATTGAGCTGCCACAATCACAGACGCAAAATAGTTTGTTAAGAGAAAGGTTCACTAATTAACAAAGCAGCTCGAAGACATCACCGCTCCATGGGTGCTCATATATGTCTGTATGTATGGTAAGTAAGTGTCTAAGTACATAAATATTAATGTTTGTGCTCACCCCTTTTTGCTTGTGCCTGCTATAGTACTATAGGCTACTTAAAAGCCGAAGAAAATTTTTTTTATGATTTTATGGCACCGCGCTTGCTGCTTAATTCCGAGCCGAGACGTGGAGCGCGAACTCGATAGCTCTTTTGCACGTATTATCATTATTGTTTGTTTGTATTGTTTTTTCTTATTTCCTTGTACTTTTTTTTTTTGCATATTGTCTACCTAGAGGCTCTGAGACTGCATTACACACCTTACCATTTGCATACATTAACCTTTCATTTCCGCTCGCCAGCGACAACACACCGATTTACCTTCCTTGACGGCTCATGCAGCTGAGAGACGCGATGACGCGGTGTTAAGTGAAACGAAGGCAAATTAAAAGCAAATGGCATTGTTAGTGTATGATAATGAATTTTCATATCAAAAGGACGGATTATTTCATTTATTGGTTTCGAGTGTGTGAGCAGTGCTTTGGCATTTATAGCGGTGTGTGTGTATGTGTCTGTGTCTGTCTGTGTTTTTGCTGTCTTCTAGGCCTATGTGAAAAGTGCAAGACACGTGTGATGTTCTACAACATATTTACGTGTGTGTGTGTGTGTATGGATATATATGCATGTGTTTGTATATACCTAATATATAGCTATATTTATGTGTATGTGTGTTTATACTTTTCTCTAAGTGCAGAGCGGAAGTGTTAGCGTGCTTTGAACTTGTTGTGTTATTGCAACGTCGATAGGCTGAACACTTGGAGCGACTGTTGACAAGAACACATTACAAATCTTAAACAAACACACACACACACACATACATATAAAATTATATGTAAATATGTGAGTGTTTTGCATTTCAGAAAAGGGATATTTTTCGGCTTGTTACTATTTGCTTAACGCGAACGTTATTATTTAAATGATTTGAAGACTTCCTGTGCATAGCCGTTGACACACACACACATACTCGTACTTGTTTATGGCTTTCAGCAATAATTAAGTAGCTAAGGTGTATGTTGTTGGGCCAAAAAACCGGATGTGATTTTTATTGTCACATGAGTACCAGAGCATATAGACACATGCATACATACATATATATATATACATACATACAATACCATATATAAACATATATAAACATACATGTCTTGCTAAAAGCAGCTCGGTGCTTTCTTACTTGTCGCTCAATTCTTAGAGTGCATAATCCTCTCATTGTATCCCAGTTGTACACAAATATAATGTTAACTTCGGCTCCCTAACCGAAGCTATACCCCTCACAGGTGCATTTCTCACAGCAAATGGTATATTTATCTTGATTTTGAAATGACAGTTTGAATGGCAGTTATATGCTATAGTGATCCGATCAGAACTATATACTCGAGAATTGCACCGTTATCTTGGATAATAACCTATATCAAATTTGGTTAAAATATCTCGTCAAATGAAAAAGTTTTCCATGCAAGCACTTGATTCCGATCGTTTAGTTTGTATGACAGCTATATGCTATATCTGTCCGATAATGGCGATTCCGACAAATGAGCCACTTCTTGGTGAGAAAATTACGTGCGCAAAATTTCAGAAAGATATCTCAAAAACCGAGGCACTAATTCACGTATAGACGCATGAAGAGGCGTGTTAAAGTCGACTTTATTCCCCATATTATTCACAGGATCTTCGACTTTTCTTTTTGGGTATTATAAACCTCATGGCCAGCCTAATATACCCTGTTCAGGGCATAGATATATGTACTTATCTATGTACATAACTTTTATATGAGTAAAAGCCCTCGCTCAGCAAACATTTATTTTAAAATTATGCAAATCCACGTGACAGTGACACTGCTGACACTGACTGATACGCGAACACACACACACATGCACACTCATGTGAAAGGGCTTCAAAGCAACATCCAGTGACTTAATTGCCTTCGCAACAATCAAATAAAAGCGAAAATGCATGCATTTGGCCATTCACTTGAAAAATTATTCCCACAGGTTTACTTTTGCTGGGTGTGTGTTTGTTTGCACACACGTACGCACACAAACACATATGGCCGTTGGCATTTACAGCGACTGTTGCAACTTCACTTACCCAGTCTACTGCTTTGTGGCATTCAATTAGAAGTGTCCTTTCTTGCCAGCGAAAGCGAACTGATTACTTTTGCTTAGCTAAATAATTGTTCCGGTTTTTAATTCACAACATGCAAGCACACACACACTTACGCAAAACACAAATGGAAACACTCTCATAAACAGTAGCTGCTGCCCCTTAATGCGAATGCGAGTTGCAGCGCCAATGAAAAGCTTGCGCTTGCCTGCAGTTTTGCACACCTGCAATCATAAGTCAAGCTATTTATTGCCGATGTACGCTTTAATTTCACAATTTTTTTTTTTCAATTTTTATTAAATCTTTTGCACCCCTTGTGTTTTGGGGAGAAACCGAGTAGAATGCTAATTCAGTAATTAAATTTTACTTATCTACTGTTATTACGAAATTTTAATTTACTGTGTAGCGTGAGATTTTTTTAAAATATGTAAAAAGTAGGGTTGTCTATTTACGGTTGGAATCAACTTGCGATATATAGAAATAAAAAAGTAAGAAAAATTCAGAACTTGTACAAGACTTAGTGTTTTCTATATCACATATATTCTTAGTGAAACTTCAGAATGGAACTGTTTGTACTTCTTAATCTTTTCTCTTGCCTGTAGACAAATAAAAAACCCGGTGCGTTTATCGGGTTTAGTTTAGTTTAGACCTCTACTATTAAAATCATGTAGATTAAATTTGGAATTAACCAAATCATGGCGCCGTATATGTCGTAATATTAATTCTTATTACTGCATGTTTCATTTATCTGACGCACTTTTCAACATGGAAAAACTATATTATCTTTTTATAATAAATAAGATACTAAAAAATTTTTTGTAACATAATTTTTGGTTTTATCCGTTGAAATATTTGTTTCTGTAGCTGAGCAGTTTCAGGTCTCGTCGCTTAAAAAACCCTCTTCCTCCATGAATCGGTTAATTTGGCATGTTCAGGGTTTTCCAATAAGAGTGATATGATTTAAAAAAAAACACACACACTAATTGTTAAGAAAATTCAAATGTTTTTTATTTAATATAAAGTAAAATCGACACAATTAAGTTCTGAATATAACCTCATTCAAATGGACTCCACGATTTTTTTTTCGGGAACGAATTCGATTAACCCAATTTTCGAGTACCTTTTCCACTAAATCAAGTCGTATGTCATTAATAGCAAGTTCAATATTGACTTCTAAAGCTTGAAGAGAGTCTGGTTTATTGCTTAAGATCAATGACTTCAAATAACCCTACAAGAAGAAGTCTAATGGTGTTAAATCAAAACTTCTTCAATGTCACAATTTCTTGAAATTATCGAATCTCCAAACTTTTATCGCAATAATTTGGTTGTTGCGCGTGCTGTGTGGCACGTAGCCCTGTCTGGTTGGAACAAGATGTTGCTCTCCATTGACAGTAACACTGTCATCAGCTTCATTTCGAAAAAAGTACGGATCGCTGATTCTATCAGACCAAAAATCACACCAAACTGTAAATTTAGGTGAATGTTGGTGGGTGTTTATGAATAATTTCTGGAATTTCTTCGCACCAGAATTACAAATCATCACATATTTAAAATGGCAGAAACGACACTTAGAAATTCTCCCTATTGGAAAACTCGATATGTAATTGTTTGAATCTTCATATTTCTGATCCCTAAGCTTACTAATTTTCTGAATTTCGTAGGTCGGTGTAATCTTAAAAAGTCAAACACCATTGTCTTTAAAAAACAAATAAATGTTTGAATATCAATGCAGAATTGCACCTAAATGCTTTGGTATTAAGATAGTAACATACTAAGTACTAATAACTTAATAGTGAATTTTTAGTCAGCACAACTAGATTTATTACTGTCATTTCGGCAATGTTTTGAACTGTCATATTTGGGTCATAAGTCAAGAATTAATATATACGTTTTCCATAGTTAGCCTTCCGAGCCGATATTTTTGATTTTAAATTTCGAAATTGAACATACTAAAATCGTCATCATTAAATATATCATGCTAGTTCTTAGACAAGTGAAAATATGGCCAACCTCCACGTTTTCCACTTTTTTGAAGAGTGTATAACATTTTAAAATGATGCTTATATGCTTCATAATCAAATGTAAAATATCTTAAGCGAGAGATAATCTAGAAATATGAAGATTTCATGGTTGCTATGAATTTAAACAGTAGAACTTTGTTGCCATTTCTCTTGACATTATCGTATACAGAAATGAGAAATCTTAAGATTTTTAAACCTTATTGAAGTGGCTGTTTGATTTTATGGGAACAAGGCAATTACTTTTGACTACTCCAACCTATTAATATTCTAGTGAAAATGGTCTAGATCTCATTAATTTATTATATGCATATGTATACTCACTGTAAGTTACTCCTCGTTACTCCTCCATATAATGCCAACAGTGAAATAACAATTTACATACCTACATATGTAAAAAGAGGTATCAATGATATGCATTCTTCAAACTGGTTTCTTATATTTCTAATGATTCAGTCTTTAGTTCCACATTCTGAATCATGCGATCGTGCCTTTCCAATTAAACACAAATTCCTCTGAATAATACAAGGTTTTTCTGTAACACAACCTATATTAAATTTCTTTTCAACGCCATCTTTATTTTCTTATTTCAGATATGGCAGGCGGAGAATTTATATAGCATGTACACATCTCTAAAATGCTACCAATCAGGAGAAAAATATAAAAAAAAAATTTACTGTATTTGTTACATTTTAATTTATTTGAATACAATTCACAACCAATTCTGCAAAATAAATCAATAAAATCAGGAACCTTAGATTTTCTGTTGTCTTTAATTTCAGTGCTGTGAAAACTGGTAAGTAACCGAATAGAATAAAATGTTTCAAAAGATGAAAAATTTAATAATTTTATTAAATGGTATTAAAAGTACGTTATGTAAATATCATACAAATAATTAGTTTAAGGCAACACTTGTAAAATATCCTTCTCCAACACTGTTTTAGTGCATAGAAAATCAAAATAAAATTCACGATCGGCACAACAAAAGTATTTATGCGCTCTCTTTGCTGGCCATGTAAAGTATGCATGTATTTGAATATGCGCTCCATTTACTCACTCTTTCTCTGTCTTTGCATTGCGTTGATTTTCATCCTTCTTCATTTTCTGCTCTCCTAGTCATTTAAGAGTATAAAGAAATTTTTTTCGGTTTTTTATTCTACTTCTTGGAAATCAAAAAACGAACCAATCCAAAAAAAGGTTTTAAAACCTTAAATTAAATAGCTCTCAAAGTACAGAAAGAGTGACAATTTTGAAAATAGTTAGCCTCGAAAGCAATACTTGTTGTTGCTTGAAACGAGGGGCCTCTGTTGTGCGCCTAGTAATTCAGTGAATATTTATTTTGGACAAAAAAAAATTTCTGAAAAAAACTTTAAATGTCAGCATGACAATCGACGTAAAATTTCTTATTATTTGAGCTGAGGTACTAGGCGAACAGAACAGTAGGAGATGTACGTGTAAATAAGTTATTAACATGACTTTCAAATATATAACAAAAAAACAAACGATCCTTTGCTCTCTCGCATGGTTTTTTTACCGTGTGCAAAAAAAGAAAATACACAAATTGCTTGACAAATACTGACCAATGGGCACGTAGCATCACTTTGTATGCTCCGTTATTTTATGCTCTCCTTTTCAATAAACAATGGCTCTACTGAGCGGTTTCTCTTTCAATATTTTTTGTGCTGTTAAATACATATGTGCATTAATACTAGCAGGAATCAGCTACTTTATTTTTATGTTTGCCTGGTAGCCATACGGCGTTATGAAATTAACATTCGACTTATCGATTACCTCAGAGTCAAGTAAAGGACTAAGTAGTATATACCATAGCATAAGTACTAGGCGCACATGCATGAAGTACAAGTTAAGCATAGAGTTTTTTCTTTATTTATTTACGTATGATTTTTACCATGAGTATAATAATTTTGTATATAACTGAATACTAAATACATAAATATGGAAATATTAATAAATATAAATAATATTTATTGTTCCAAACCATTGCTGAAACCTTTACTCTTAGAATATCGAACTTATCTTATTTCCATTCATGTTCGCCTGGTAGAACATAACCGACACACTTGAACTTTGCAGTTTTTGTTCTAAGCAAAATAAGCAAAGACTCCATATACTTTAAGCAATCTTATACCAGGCGACCAGCAAAAATCAAATGACGGCGAAAGAAAATTGATACTGCAACTCATTCATTGTTTGGACATTTCACATAAAACTTTCCGTACTAACTATTATTATTTGTTGTTATTTGAGTATGACTTGACATTTGAAACGTAGAGTTGTGCTTGGTAAATTACATCATTTTTGTTTTTAATTTGCGCGACGAACACATTGTCCGTTAAGCTCTCTCAATGCTGCTCATAGCCACTTTTGCTTGACCGATAGCTAACAGGTGCCCATACATGCATATAATTATATGAATGAAGAGCATCAAAAAGAGGATCAATAATTGCCTGCTTTTATTCATGCTCGCCTGATTGCTAGTTTGATCTCATGTATTTCGTTCTCACACACGCGATTGTGGATTTTGTTTCCAGTGTTGGCAAACGTGTAATTTTTCTGCTTGCGTTATTTTTAAATTTTCTGATAAGTAAAATTAATGTTTAATTATTATATAATATTATGTAATCAAGTCATGAGCATTTAAGTTGTTGTTTATTGTCGTCTCTTTCAGCACAGAAATCCTTTTTTTAAATCTATCAAAGTAGGATAATTTCGGCTACATTCGACGTCTTATATATCATATGGCTTCTCTCAATTTGTTATTCTAGAATATTTCGCAAAAGCTAACACTCAAATGAAGCGGCTTTCCAGTGATAAGGCGAAATTAAAATCAATAGTTGTCACAATTTTCTAGCGCAAATATCCAGATATTTCCCGCGATGATACTGATGCTGAAAAAATAAATAAAATTGGTGTTTAGGTAATTCAAAACATACTAAATTATATATTTATAAGAAATAAGTTGTTACTTTATGTGTACATGGAGTACTAAGGTTTCATAGTTATAATATGTGCCTATAATGGAATCTTCCATCTGCTTTCTGGGCTGACGTTAAACCGACTTTTTGTTAATCCACTCATAATGACGAGATTGGATCAGAAGCTCTCACGCAGTGAAGTGTAATTTCTTTGAATTAATCAAAAACATGCCTCAGGAAGTTACTGAACATCGCGACAGCTTGGCTTATATGTAGCTGTATTTGGATTAAGTACGCTGTTGCTCCTAACTTAAGCAGAGAGCTTTCGAAGCCTCAACGTTTACTAGAAAAATACGAAATCTCTTTAATACATAATAGTTAAGGTTCAGTATCTTTTGTAGGAAAAAATTTGGCAGAAACATTGCTACCTTACATATTATCATATCCAGAAATACAAAACAGTTTATTAAGGTAACTCTTGGTTTCTTACTCCGCAACAATAACACCGACGTTTACTTGCGGCTCTGCAAATGAGCTTCTGTTTTGATTTTTTTTTTATCAATTCTTGGATTCTATTGCATGTACGTGAGAAATACTGTTGTGTTGATGGGGTGACAGAGTCAGCTTGGGGCCACAACACACGCCTGTGAGTCAATGTACATATAGACTCACTCACAAATACTTCTATAACGCATATTTATGTGAGCAATATATGCATTCTAATTAAATGCAGGTGCAACGCGCCGTCGCGTCTTATTTAGAAATGGAACAAAGAAAATGCTTTATGCTAAAAATCGCAAATTGCGAAGGTTGCATTAAAGCATAAGGGTGCACAAATCTTATCACACGAAGGAGTAAACGTGTGTGAGTATGTGGTAAAATCACGTGAGTTTGGGTTTTTACGCAACGAAGCTCATAACAACGATGGGTAGTTAGCATAGTATTATTCATAAGACAAATGTGCAATCAATAAAAAAATAAAAAAAGGGTTATTCATTTGGTGTATACTAGAATGATTCGAAAATTATAACGCAAATTAAGGATTTTAAGATTTTTTTCAAAATTCTTGATATTTTCTAAAGCCATTGAGGTGAATATTAAACATTTTTGTGAGCTCAGAAGATTTCGAAGAAGTTTTCAGAAATTTTGGAAGAATTCTGGTTTAAGCCTTCGGGATTTAAATAAATATGCTCCCTTAGCACGAATCTCCTACTCAACTGATTTCAACAAGCCTAATAAAACCTTACTAGTAAGTAATAGGCTAGTTATGCATTTATCGAATATATTTTTCATATTACTACAGTATTCGCTCGAATATTGGGAGTGTCGACCCTTCTTGCGATATCACATACTGTCCAAGTTTCTAATTTTCATACTAAAAAATATACCTTTTCTAACTATTTTTATGAGCTTCAATTATTATTTGTACTGTTTTTATTTCAGCCACCTCTATAGAGCTGATGATATTAAAAATATAATAATAAATTTTAAAAAATAAATATATATATATAATAAGATTTAATATTACCTGAGGAGAGATAACATCTATTAGAAAAATATAATTTTAGACTTATTCTCGGTAGGGATTTGAATCCATGGTGGTGTGACTGATAGTCAAGTTTTCAATTCACTCGACAACGACGACAGTCATATAGGACAATCCTACTGAGAAGGATAGTTTGAAGCCTCCTGCCCTCTTAACATACTTGTATAAATAAACTAGCTGACCCGTAAACCGTTGTTTTGCCATATACCTTATTTTTGGGAAATAATTTTTTAGGAAACAAATACACAAATAAGACCCCAAACAAACGGAAGAGAACTGTTTGAGATTTTGCAAATTAAAAGGAGTGACAGTGCTTTAAGATGACTTCACGTAGCGAAGAATCAGAGTATATACTGTCTTCAGATTCTACAGCTTGCAACAAAGATACTTACACAGGATGGAAAGCTGAGAAGAAAGAAAGGAATTACTAATATTTTGACATGAGATTGGCCACTTTCCAGATTTATTCTGGCAATCAATGAGTAGGTCCACATAAAAGACTGTATGTATTTGATCTTAGTGGTCATTTATGTTTACAAATTGGGAAATTAATACTGGTAGGCAGTTATTGGGAGAATTTTAGCCTACGCTTAAATTTGAATTAACAAGCGAAATGTTTGATTGACGAACTCGCGGTTTTAATATCTTTCAATCTCGAAATCTTGTCAAATTTACGATATCTGGTGTGGAATTTAATGATTTTGCATTGACTTATAAATATATTATCTCTATTGATTAAGAAATGACGTTCAATTGAAAGCAAATTTTGACATCTGTCAAATAACAACCTTTAAAATAGATGACACAGATATGTAAATATGGGTAGGTACCAGGTGTAAGCGTATAATTGATTGTTTTCGATTTTCTGTTTCATATTTTTATTGATATTTGAATGCGTCAACGTTTTCTTTGAAGACTCACAAGCCAACTGCAGTGGCAAGTAAGGCTTAGGTGCTTAGATCTCCCCCATTCTCTAGACTTAAATTAATTTGAGCGCGTCATGTTATTTGTAAATATAAACAAACAATTTGGCGCACAATTTCCACTATATTAATTTTAATATATATACATATATATATATATATTTTTTTTTTTTTTGTAAGAATGTTGCGATACTTTTTGCACTTTTTTTTCAAATTTATTATTTACTATCGGATATCAAGTGTTGTGACTTGGGTCAGTCATTTTGTGGCGCTGCTACTGATCTAACAGCATTTGCACTTTTGTTTGACAACAATTGAAATTGTTGTAGTTCTACACTATATACATACGAATAAATAAAGCTTTTCTCAGAATCTTCGCGCTATTTTGCTGACAAATTACGAAAGACACACACAAGTACAGCCTGTGTGTGTGTGTGTGTACTTATACAGGTTTGTTCAAAGCACCAGCCGAGAACGAGTCATCGCCAATGAGCACAGCTCGGTCGTGGATTAGAACGAAGTTTAGGGGAAGCAGCTCACTTCCTTAAGACTTTACGGCATTTATACATGCTTTTTATGTATGTGTGTGCGTGTGTGCCTGTGCCACCGGGTGCGCTAACCTATTATTCACGGTATCTGCTATCTATAAGGTTGCTTATTTAAGTATAATAGTGTATAAAAGTAGTTATGTATGAGTATGGAGTCATAGTAAGACTACAAATCCATACATATATATTGTATGTATGTCAGTATGTATTTTATAAAGCGTTACTTTGAAAAACCACCACTCACTATGCACAAATACACCGGTTATACTGCACGCTGCCATTGAAGGCTAGTTGCGGCGCGTATCAATGTGCTTGTGGCAAGACGCCAATCGAAGGAAAACAAAGTCCAGGTGTTCGCTAAGACATGCTGTCGTCGTCCCCCGTGCCATACTGGCTGCTTAGCAGCTAAACACAATACATATTCATACATTGGGCAAAAATATTAAAATAGACACACACACACACACACACATGTATAAGTATTTATAAATATAGTAATCTAAAGCGGACCAAGCCTCGTTGATTTGGCGTAACGACGAAATGCCTCTTGTATCTATAGACACACACACAGATGTGTATATACATATATATTTAAAAATGTAACGGTGTATGGTTGTCTAGCATACGAACTGGCCGTTGCGCACCTTGACTTGATGAGCAGTGTCTGGTCTGCGTTATTGTTTACTGTGTGACTTGTAGGTACTGTACATATGGATATATTTAAGTACTTGTCAACATTAAAATTTATAGGTGTTAGTATGTTTGTAGGTATTAGTCCGTTACATTTATTTTTACACGCTAAAATTGTTAACATTTTTAAAATAAATTTTCTAGACTACTTTGCCGTTCCTGCTTTGAAAACTAGACTCTTTGCCATCACGATGCTTTTAAAACAGCTAGAAAGTCCCCGAGAAATTGGTCTCATCTATGAGATGATAAAGAGTGGAAAGTCTTTAACGACAGAAGTTATGCAAAACCAAAGCATCGAAGACCTTAACCCCAAGTCGCGCTTACATACTTTCTAGAGCATTTCGTTCGAACCCTCGGAACGCTGCCTACAACACACGGAGCTCATTTTTTCATATCAAGCAACCTAAATATTTAGTGCAGGGTTGACATACTCTGGTTCTCAGCATTTAAGGATATAACGGAACGATTCGCTTTTACCCATACCTTACAATGGTTTCGATATGGTACTTGGCTTTTCTCATTTTTTTTTTCGAAAATTATTGATTATTCTTTAGTTAATAAAGTATATAATATCAAAAGCCCAATTTTTAAAAAATCATAATTATAATGCAAATTTTGGTGCTAACAAATGTTGCCCCCAGTTCTTACTCTTACTGCATACTAATATGTAAAACCGCAAAATGCTTAAGTAATGACAGTGAAATTTTAACCATTTCGGACTATTAGATCTGAAGTTAGCAGCTATTCGAAAAAATAACCGCTCTACAGCTCAATGTTTATACAAACAATAGATCAAGCAAATATTCTACATCAACCCTAGTAAGGCTGCCTTAGTATTATAGCGGCAGAAATATTTCCGACATGGCAACTAAGTTATGAGTTTTGTTTTTGAAATGTTGGCAAGTTGACAGTCCATGACCGCTATATTCTTATATGCAGCTCTTAATCTCCTTAAGTATTTTTTTTATAACAGCTGTTGCCTCAGAATAAACAATCACCAAGTAGTTTTGGGGAGGCCTACTGAGTTAATGTCTGTAGTCACACCTTCGAGTCTTTGAAATTTTTATAAAGGTCTTTATATATTTGGACAAATTTTCGATCTCTTAACAAGTTAGGGCCTGGATTATTCTTCATATCATAGTAACCTTAACACATGGTCCAGTCTCCACCCTCCACCAAAGTTTTTTGATTCCGTCTCACTAGTCTTTGATATTGCTATATACTTTTTATAACAGGAAGTTCTCAAATAAGTTGTCATAAGAAAAA